TTTTTCTTTGGTGTTTCGTCTGAAAAGTGCAGCTTTATTGTAGAGGTAGAGTTTGCATATTGAAATTGCCCATCATCACGATGGGTATGTAATGTGGCAAGGAACTAGACCTATGATGTTGTAAGAACTGGAGCACATAAAGGCATAGTCTCTTTCGTTTCCCTTATATGATGATGCGGTCCCTTTCCTTCAATAACTTCTTTTATTGTTTTATTCCTCCCATTTTCCCTGGTTATTTGAATGATCAGAAAAAAGGTGCAAAGATCTACACTTGATTTTCTGGTAGGAGGTTCTCTTCTACTGCACATCACATTGCAAAAACCCATTAAGAAGGTTATCAATATTTATAAAATTTAACGTCACTCATATTGGCTAATAATGAAATAGTTTTATAAATCAGTGGTTTGACCAACATTATGCAGACACCAGCCGCATATTGATGAATTTGTCTAGGAGTGCCCTCTTTACTCATTATGATGCTAAAGGTGTATTTTTCCATCTTTGAACGCTTCTCAACATTCCAAAAACACCTTCACGCGGGCTCAAATGTGACTGAATCACGAAACAAGTAGCATTCTTTATTAGTATTGATATGCAGTTGAATATGGCCTTTATTTAATTTAGACAGTAATGTTATCCCATGTATAAAGGCTATAACTCAATTGGGACTGTGCACGGGTGATATTGACTCTGAACGCAGAGGCCACATTGATGTCAAGTACCTGCAAGATGTTCTTTGGTGTCTAGGTTGGATAAGTATAACATTTTCAGTCTATTCACATCGTGTTTTATTTTTCCCCTTCCCTTTTTGCAAATATATTTTCTCACACAAGCAAACTATTTGCAATTGTGTCTTTTCTTTCTTGCAGTTCTATGAACAGAAAGAGCTAGGAGAATGGAATGACGTCAGATATTCTCTTACAGTTAGTTATCAAGCCTTTGCAAAACTAATTACATCTACAGGGGAAATTGCTCACTCGAAAGCTCAACACAGTGTCGATCTATGATGTCCAAAGATTTGGCTCTCAAGGTATATTTTCTTCATGTATCGATCGACTTTTTTTTATTAGTATTATTACTTGGAATTATTGTGCAATATTGCTGGGTTCCACCATCTGATCAGTGGTTGCTTGGAGCCTAAAATTTCTGTTTACTTAGTATATTTTCTGCGCTTTCGTTTGCCGTTCCATTGTGGATAAAGTTGCCTTCCGGTCAGGCGTTTTACCTCTTTGGATTCACACTTGAGTGATGCAAGAGTTCCCAGTGGTCGACCGAAACTCCGAAAATATGTCTTTGTCCGGCTTTCATTCTCAGTTCCCAACCGCAGCTGTGCAATCACTGTAGGGTTATCTCCAAACCCTTAATTGCTAACATCGCAGTAGTGCAATCGCTGTAGGGTTATCTCCAAACCCTTAATTTCTCAATTCAACGGGTAAGTAAATACATTAAGTAGAGTTTTAATATGGTGATTAGTGTTTTGAATAACTTTGGGTATATAGATAATCACCAGTTGTAGCAAGTATAGCTTCGAGTGTTCTTCTTCTAACCTGTAGGCTAAGATGACTGTGTCTGGTACATAGTCATGCATTTCTTTTTTTATTTCTTGAAATCCAATTTTAGAGATTTTGTTTTAAATTGCGTGTAATGTTTGTATTTTGGATTAATTTGATAGATTGATGCTATTTGATTTGTTTAGATTCTTGGATATTTGATGTTTGGGTAGATAAACCAGACTAATGTGATTTATTTCTGGTACCCTATAAATACCCGTAGATTCGTAGAATGAATTTTAAGCTTAGATATTGCAGTATGGAGTAGCTGGTTTTAAATTTCACAATTTGATCTCTGAGTATGAGCGCAACGTGTTTGTTTTTTTTGTTTCATCAATCTATATCTCTTTTCCATTGCAGGTGCTTATTCTTGATTTCTAATCATTGATTTTTATGTTTCTGAAGACAAGAAGATACACAAATGTGTGAGTTTCAAGGTGTGTTCGTTCATTCATTCTTTTATGTGGGTTTGGGTGATTAGATGCTTTTTGGTTAATTACTTCTTTCATTTTTTAGGTTAATTGATTGCATATATTTGCTATTCCATGTCTCTACTGATGATTTACAGAGGGAAGATAGGTTGGGATCTGCTTGAGTTAGGATTTGTGTGTATTTGTATCTATATAAGTGGGCATTTTTAGTATTCTTAGTGCTTTGATTTTTTTTAAAGTGGCATATCTTAACTATGAAAACGTTAAAGCTAAACACTATCCTTTAATAGCTTTTTTAAAACTCTAAACCTAAACACTAATTCTGATTTCAAATAGATCCATAATAAATCACGTTTGAGTGTTCAACTAAGTTGTTTGGTGTGCATCTGTTATTACATATAAATAAAATAACTAAAATTCCCAATGTTGAAGCTTTTAGTTGCCTATTCTTAATAGATACATATGCATATTTTTAATGAATGAATAACACCCTGTATAATACAGATTCAGAAATTAGATATTGGAAAAGCACTTCACCTTCCCTTCGATCATTCACTTATTAAAGAACTTCACATCATATTCATATCACCCTTTATTTTGGATGCATAATTTGACAAGAGAGTGTCTCCAGCAATTTACAAGATTTGGGTTACTAAATTATACTATTTCTAGCCTTAAAAAATTACTATTTGTATTTGTCGATGAATAAAAAATGTTACTTATCATTTTCATATGAAAATGTAGTGCTATGAAATCGAAACTCACACTTTGGGACAAGACTATACATAATTAATTACTATCTCAACCAAAAATATGCTTTGAAGGGTGGTATTGTCGCTGGTGAACCCATACTCTTTGGTATCACTTGACTACAACACTCAAGGTAAGACTTTGTATTACACACTATTAGGTAGCACTATTCTTTATACAAAACATTGGCTTTGTCTGTTTATTAACATTTAGTTTAAAACACCATTTTTTCACAAGAAATGTTACTCCCTGCAGGTTTTGTTACACTACTTTAAAACAACATAACACGTACACACTCCTCGATTATAATTCCAACTCCCCCTATCCCGTTAGTATGTATCTTTAACACATGAAAACTGTAACAAAACATATCAATAGTGTTCCACTCAAGCATGTGTGAATAGCAAATAAAGGTAAGGCAGCTTTTTTGTTAAAGCGATGAGCAAAATAAGCAAAAAAAATGGTAAGTGCAAGTAACAGAAAAGAGCTGAACAAATCAGAGCATAACAAATCATGATCACCATCCTCATGAAAAAAAGGATAAAAGAGATCAATATACATGTACATCTTAATATGGTAGCTAGATAAGTAGGATTGATAAAAAAACAACAGATCACAACTTACCAGGATAAAGATCGTCAAAGAGTGCTAATGTACTTTACCTACATTCAGCCTGTGAATTTACCTTTGATTAGTTTGATATCGAATTGGGTATTATATAATGTTTTTTAAGATGGAGATTTTGAATGTGATTATGTCCTCCCTTATTTCAAATAGGTGGGGGTGTTACACACTAAATCTTCTCTCAACTATGCACTATTCAACAAACCACGTAATATCCATCATGGAAGTAGCACCAAGATAGCATATAATCAGGCTTCACTGAATTCAAAAGATAACAATTAATAGATTTTTGGTAATTAAGTTGAGAATATATGTTTTGCCGGAATCTATTAAATTTCAGTTTTACTCTATATTTCATTTTGTGTCAAACTCATTAATTACAATAACAGTGCTTATACGCAGAGCTTCACAACAAAAGTTTCGCCGGAATCTATTTTATGAGTGGTGCTTTCTCTTGCACCGGCGCACTATCTCAAGGTATGAACCCATGATTTATTTTAAATATCCAAATGATACAATATCAATTTTGTGAATTTGCTCTATTATATTTGTTGAATTTTAGCCATATATTAATATATAGTCATGTTGTTGCTAGCTGCATGAGTTTATTCAAGAAAAAAGAATGACTTTTCACATGGATAATGTTGTATCGAAGTACATAAATTGTTCAAACACTAAATGAGTCACTTCATTTGCATTATTACTTATGTGAATTGTTGTTAATTCTCCATAGGAGAAGAAATGTATAGTACAGAGGGGATTGTTGATTCTTTCTGTAGGGACATGAGGGACATCCATTACATTAACCATAATGACATGAATATGCCACACTAATTATGTATGACCTGCATTTTACAATCAAAGCAGGTTAAACACTTCAGTGCAAGTTATTTGGTTTGTCATCTCATTTCTATTCATTATAAAAGTTAAGTTTATGTGTTGTAGTGTTGACATGTGGCATGCCACATATGCATCCACATGTGCACCCATTAATGAGGTGGATGCATTTCATTGGTCCAATTAGTTTTTTTAAAATCTTTATCATTTTTTAACAATTTTATAAACATATATTTTGCCATTGTAAAATATACTTCGTATTTTAAACACACACACACACACATACATACATAGGATTATTTTATACTATTACTATATATTTTAGTTTATTACCTTCTCAAAAAATGATTATATAAATTTAATCACATATGCATATTTATGAATTAAATACTTTGCTCCAAAACTTTTAAATAGAATAAAGCTGGTTTAATTGAAGGGTGACAAGTGACATTATGTCACATCTCTAATGATGTATCATTATTTAATTAGTTTATTTTTTTATTATAATATTTTATTAATTAAACCCAATTTCATTAGTACTTCATTCAATGACCATTAATTTTGTATAAAACATTTTATTTTTAAATTAATATACCAATATATATTCCACCAGTTTTGAACATATGTAATCACTATTAGAAAACTAAAATAAAAAAATATATTTATAGATTATCAAAAATTTAGAATGTATTTGAATCCGTGCGAAGCATGGGATTAACACTAGTTTTAATAATAAGAATAAGAAAAAAAAAGGGTAAGTTAGAACTGAAAGGGGCTTTCGTCCTTAATCCTGATCGGAGTAGAAAGCGCGTCAACATCATGGGTGCCTATATATGAAATCCAATAGGGTTGCCTCTTCGTAGATTACCGCTTAGACGTTGGCTGCCCCGTGCTCCCACATCCGGCGAGAGTCATACCACAGAAATCAACTTCAAATCAGCTTCTTTATTCTCCCAGATTCAGGCGAGTTTTGTTTATTTTTCTTCGATAGTTAGAATGCTCTTTTACAGGGGGAATCTAGATCTATTTAGCGTTTTTGTGTCTGTGTGTGTGCGTTTAGATTTACACATGTTATGCACTTTGCTTAAATTTCTCTCAATATGATTACATGCCTTTGTTTGGCAGCAACCTTTGGGTTTACCTTTGAAGCCTTGTTTTTGTGCTGATTTTTCCATGAATTTCAACTGCATTTTGGGTTTCAACCTGCGGGGTTTGGTGGATAGAAGTAAATTGGATTTTGGTTGATGAAGATAATAAAATTGTTGTTGTTTCATTCCATATCAAACAAAAGAAACTTAATATACCAAGAATCTATTATTTTTTTTTGTATCTTAATAGCAGTGATTAGATAAATCAATCAATCCATCACTGCAAGGTTTGAGCTCATCAGTCAAAACTTGGGGGTAGAATTTATAGTTCATACCTTTTAGGGTATCCTTTGATGTGAAGCCAACAACTGTTGGCTTGATGAAGATGAACACAGATGCTGTTACTCTTTCCCTGGAGTTAAACAAAAAAGATGGGGAATTTTAGGTTTAGGTAAAATATTTGGAAAGATTAGTAGTCTATTGAGGGATAATTCTTAAACCTGGCAAAATCTTCCTCCAAAACATTATACTGGACAACATCATTCTGATATCATCGATCATGACATATACAGGCATACTCCTCTGTCACAATATTGTTGAGATCTATTTAACAAACCCTAAACTTATTTTGAGATGAAGTTACAAAATTGATGAAATTAAAATGAAATTGATCTAGAGATATATAGGAGTATAGTTTGTGGTTTACTTTTATATAGGTGTATAATTACTTTTTTGCTAACTAATAGTACTTGGTTGGAGTGGCCTTGTCAGGAGCTAGATGGATACGAAGATGAGCAACAGCGAGTCTCCCCGGGTGTGGTATGTGAGGCATTTTTTATTATTTGATTTGATTAAGTGGTTTTCGTCTGTGTGGCGACATATTTTGGTTGTGATATATGATGTGATTTGCGACGTGCAGCAGGTTCACCTTGTGCCCAATTGCTCCAGAGGATAACCAAGCTGTTCGCATCAAGTTTGCTCATCTGGGCAAGGATGGATTTTTCAATAAAAGGATCTCGACAGTTGATGTCTCTGCATCGGTTCGAGATAGGGTATGGCTTTACTTTGACTCCTTATATGCTAAGCAGTATTATTATAACTGTGTTGATCAAGATGGAGATTGTTTGTTTGTTTGTTTGTTTGTTTGTTTGTGCTATGCAAATGCTAAGGGCTCTCTGTTGTCATGTTTGTGTTTACGACTATATGTACTGCATGGATGCAGGGCATGTCAGACTGCAATCTTGACGATTTCTCATCACATCTGGCAGTAGCGGATAACATTCAATTTGAACCTTTCCACCGTTTTTGGTTGGAAGAACGTCCCTTGTTGGATGCGCTTAACCCGTTGGAAGAAAGTCCCTTGTTGGACGCGCTTAATCCGTTGGAAGAACGTTTTTGGATGAGAAAACACCAAGGGAACAAGAAGAGGAGAGCGGACGACGATGCAGCCAAGGACGACAATGGCGATGCAGGTCCTGCTCCTGCCGTGGACATGGAGTATTAATCTTATTTGTAGTAAATCATCTGTTCACCTGTTTTGTATTGTTGCTCTGGAACATGTAAACTAAATTATCTGGTATGCATATTTTGTGCATGTGTGTTTTGGCATGTAAACATATGCTGAGCTAACTTAACTGGTGGCCTAGTTTGTGGTGCCTAGTTGACCATAATATTAAAGATTTGACTGTAGCACCTACAATTTATAAATTAACCATAATGATCGGTACCGTAAATGCATTTTAACTTCTATTCCAGGAATTAAAAATGGAAGTCCTATTTTGTTATATTTTCAATTTTTTACTCTTACTTTAGCTTTTTTTCCTAACTTATGGAGCAGCGAAGATAGAAGATGATGGAGCAACGAAGATGACAAGGAGCGATGGTGGTGAAAATCCATTGAAAACAATGGAGAAGGAAGATTGAGTAGCGAAGGTGATACGAACTCGTATCAGATAGGGAAGACTCAGAGCGTCTTCGAGCTCTTGAGAATATGGAACGAGGAAGAAGAAGAATTGAGGTGAAGAGGGAATTGGCGAACCGAGAGGGGAGAAGGAATTAGGGTTTTGAGTTGTTTATTGATTGATTATTCTAAAGGAGTTACATCTATATATATAGGAGACAAAGAAACCTTAGCTAACCCTAAACCTAACTTGACGGTTCAATAAAAGCGACGAGGGAAGGAACCGTAAAGAAACCTCGAAGGAGCTTATAATTTCGCTCACCTCATAAAACCTAGATTACAATATTATTATTATAATAATAATAATAATAATAATAATAATAATAATAATAATAATAATAATAATAATAATAATAATAATAATAATAAACTAATAAATATATAATCTAATATCCTACTATAAAATCCATAACACTCTCACCCCTTTAGAAAACCACCTTGTCCTCAAGGTGGATGTTCCCACTCATGCTTCGAGACTGAAGAGAAAATGTTGACCCAAAGATTATGTCCACTTGATGATAGATCTTCATAAAGCCAGCAAATTGGAGTACAGCGACGGACATAAGAGAGAAGAGCAAATATAAACTTAGCTACCGGCGGTGAAACCCAATGCCCGGACTCCACTATATTTGCATGGGCAGAGGACTGGATGATATCAAAAGGCAGTGAGATGCCCGCTTGCGTATAATTTACATCTGCTACTTGGGCCGCTTTGGACGAAGGCACAAGGCTACATGCGATGATGACATTGCTCAATGTTGGATCCTTTGCAACTTCTTCCTTACCCGGTGCATCTAGATGCGTATCAACAGCGACAACATCCCATGGAAAGATATTAACAATACTTTCAACAGAAACACCATCAACATCAACTGTAGGAACTCTCACTAAATCCCCAATCGTACGCTCCACATCAGTAGATGTAGGATTGTGTAGAGTGGTTGTGGGGACCAGATCAGGTAGAGCAATGGAAATGCCGAGAAGATTCCTTATAGCGTTCATCATCCTTATTTTGAAACTTTTTAACTCCAAGGGAATATCACTCAATGCCATAGGAGTACCACGCACCAAATATTGTATCGAGCAAGAAATTTCCACATTGAAGGCATATAACTTGATGGTTGAGTTTTTCGGTAAGTCAACCTTCCCAATGAAGGGTTAGTTTTGTCCGAATGTCGTGTCTCTCGAGGAGTGGACGAAGGGAATTAGTTAATTTTTACAACTAGACGAAGGTTTGGACAGGTCTGAAAGTCTTCTCTTTTCGATTTGATAAATAAAAATACTATACTACTAATCGCTTTTGAGAAAAATAAAATAAATAGTACGGGTATAGGACTAGACTTTGGGCCAAGGCATCATCTAAGTTAAATACTGTTGTCACACATTTAATCAATAATTGGAATAAATATATTTCTGTCACAAATATTTCATTAACTTAACCTCTCTCAAGGTATCATTTATGTATTCTAAAAAGTTTGGCTTAATTAATTTTATATCCTCATGGACAAGGCAAAAACTAATTTCCAATTATTAATTAATTTTTCTCTCAACATAATTAATTAATTTCACAATAAAAATAATTTTAGAACAATTATTCCAACTATTAAATAAATATACAGAGTATATGCCCAAATTTAGCCAGGATCCTAATCAGGGCCCTAACTCATACTAAATATCAACAGTGCATACAATAAAAGAACATTTTATTAAAAGTTGTAAAATAAACTTGGGATATGTTAGGGGTACACCTGGTACACCTTTGGTGTACCCCAAATGTACATCACTTGCCTCTACACCATTCATTTTATTTTCTTTTTATTTTTTATTTTTTTGAAATTTTCTTGCCTTTTTTGTGTGGTGATGGAGGGGGTGGTGGATGTTTGGGGTACACCTTTGGTAAGGTGTACCTCTAGCATTTTCCAATAAACTTACAACCGGAAGCAAAGCAGAGGCCTCTTCGGAACAACCGGGACAAAACTAAACTAAAAATATTAAAATATAATTGAAAACGGGACTAGAAAAGAGGTCCGGGCCTTAGAAGACCCGGAGGAAGGTTGATAATGGATTGCTTCACGCCGATCCGCGCCTTAAATAGGCATGGGATTTTCCAGGGCGGGGTCCCGGGTGGCCGTTAGGCAGGTCGCCGCAGCTGCGGCCGTGGTTTCACGCACACGGTTTCGGCCGGTACTGTGTGCATGCTGTTTTTTGTTTTGTTTTTTCCCTGCGCAGCGTCATTCCTGTTGGATTTAAAAAAGGAAGAACACTGCGAAGCAGTGAACGAAGAACTCGATAGAATAACGAATCGCGTACGAAACGCTTTCAGATCAAAGTTATTTCGTGGTATACGAAATACTTTAATTGGATAAGACGTTAATTCAGAACAAGCACTCGAGAATCTGTTACTCAACCCATACCACGAGACTCTATTTTATAGAGTCGAAAATCCTTGTGATCGGACATGAACGTTCGCGCAGATGTACGGGTACGTTCGCGCAAGAAGAAGAAAGGTGCGAGTTTGAACGAAAGGTCTCCTGCGGTTAGAGGGTTAATTTCGACGTTTGTCCATTATGTAAGAGTCCTTTACCGTTTTGGACTCCGATCACAAAAATCTTAATGATTTTCTTAAAATACTTGGACCCCGCCAGGGGCTGCCGCCCCTTGGACCCCGCTACCCGGGGGCTGCCGCACCCGGACCCCCGCAGTGAATTTATAATATCGTTGAACGAGCGCGCACTCCGCGCCTCCTAACTTATTTGACAACGTTTATTTAAATTTTTGTCCGGTCAAAGTAAATCCAATTATACAAAATAAATTAATGACACTAAAATCACCAACAATTCCTTCTCTTCTTTCAATCTTTCTTTTTTTTAATGATGATGATTGATGACGGTGGCTGACAACTGAATGACTGATACAGGACGCCCCCCACTTGCTGGTTGCTGAAGTTGGCCGGCCAGCCAGGTCGCGCCACGTGGCAGCGCCTGGTTGGCCGGATTTTGATCCGTTCCGAAATTTTTTTCTAAAAATACTATCTTGCTCAAAATTTTATTCTGAACAACTCTTTTTTCTGCGCCGACTTCAAATTCCAAATCAATTTGGGTCAAACGAATTAATTTGAATCAAAACAACTTTTTTTTAACTTTTTCTTTTCAAACAATTTCTTTTTGGTAATTTTTCAATCCGTTTGACTTCAAATCTCTTGCAGGGGTGTATCTCCACAATTAAATATACAATTTTCACTTCAAGGATTTTTACCATCTTTTGTCTCTTTGCTTCGTTGCATTCCATTTGCACAATTTTTTACACTTGTGTACCACTTTTGACACAATTTTTATTCTTTTCAAAACTAGACATAACTTTTGTGCACTTTTACAGTTATGAATAAAAACTTATAAAAACCATTGAGAAATTGATTTGTTTGATCTAAAATTGGACAATAACACATTAAATATAGAGAAGATAAATGCGTACAAAACGGACTTATCAAATTTCCCACACTTAAGTGTTGTTTGCCCTCAAGCAACAGAGTACAACAACAAATGAAATTTTGGATCAAACACTTACTCCCTCCGTCCTAAAACTTTCTTCCCAGAGCACTATTCCAACTTCACGGGAATTTATATTTATTTGCGTTTTTTCATGGCCTATATGATAAAATAAAATATTTTTGTCACCACTTGTTTTGTTGAACTTTTGATAGAGTTTTTAAATATGTATGTTTTATTTTTTATTTCTATACCAATATTTAAATAAAATAGATTGAAAAAACTTGGGATTTTTCTTCGTTTTGGGCAACGGGAAAAAAGATATAGGACGGAGGGAGTATTTAAAAGATTTTGGAAAAACTATTGACCACACTTTTTAAACAATTTGTTGCACAAAACTTTTTTACATTATTTAATCTTTACAAAAATAGAACTACTAGAAATATCATCCTTTTTACAAAGAAGTTAGCAAAGATTTTTTTGTTTTTCTAAAAGATGCACATAAATTAATGTTATTGGCTAAATGTAAAAGTTGTCCATTTACAAACTTGGATACTAATGTTTAAAACAAAAGGATTGTAAGTGTTTTGTAATAACTGCAAAATAATTTAAGGTCAAAAATATGTAGATTGAAAAACAAAATTAAAAAAACTTTTCTCAAATTATCATTTATTCCTATGCAAAGAGTAAGTTTGATTTTTTTTGTAGAACATCACTTTGTCATGTTGACACAAGCAAAAACATTGATCCTCATCCCATGACTTTAACCACGAGATTTTTGGATTTTTATTCACTCAAAAACCTCATCACATGGAACCGCATGCTTTTTGGCACTCACTTCAATATAAGTCTCATCATCTGACATAGAACCAAATGCTTTTTGACTTTTCAATTCACTTTAGAACTTGGTCTCACCAAAGTGTGTTCTTTGAATTTTTGACTTTTTTTTCAAAACTTACAATGCAATCATTGAAATATCAAACTTTCAGAAAAATATAGTGCTCATACTCAATTTTGAAGTAGCGGAACAACGTCATTTTAAATGACAAGTTACAAATGTTTGACCTTAACGTATTTTACAAGTTAATATTTTTAACTAAATCAATAATTTTATTTTCAACACATTAGTATCCAAATTTATTTATTTACAAAACTTATTAAAGTTAACCAATAAAAAGATTATATGTGCAATTTTAAAATAAATTAAAACTTTTGGCTAATTTTTGCATAAGGGGGCTATTAAAAATAATTTTACCTTTGGAAAAGAGTAAAAAGAAATGTAAAACAATTTTAAAAACATCAATAGTGATAACTAGACCGAATCAGAGTATTCGGGATCGGGCTGAATGCTGCCAATTAGGTGGTCTTAGGCTCACCCGAATAAACCTTTCTACGAAATGACCCAGTAGGAATGGTAGGACAAGTTCGGCTCCCGAAAGAATCACCCTTTGCGTCCACTTAAGTACCATTTCAGCTTAGACAGACATTTCGTACACGGTGTAGAGATCAATATTAATATATAAAATGCAACAAAGCGTATAAAAATATTTTCAAAAAATATTCCTACACAAATAAAAATATTCTGTACCAAACTCCAATCTCCCCACACTTAGGGTTGACCTTGCCCTCGAGGTCTTTAAGCGATAAAAATAAGAGTTTGGGACAGAGACAATTCTCATTTTTTTTTGTTTGAAAAGGTTTTTACAAAATTATACACAAAGGTTAGTCATTCCTTTTTTTGTTGAGTCAAAATGGTTCACCAACATTCATAATTCCAAATTCCACCTGCAGACAAATAAAAAACAAAAACGCGTAAAAAAGAAAAAGAAAAATAAAATTTATACACTTGGGTTGCCTCCCAAGAAGCGCTTCTTTAACGTCACTAGCTTGAAGTTAGCTCGTTTTTTACGGAACTTAACGATCCGAGAGTCTTAAAGTTTGACTTTTTTGACTCTCTTCTGATGCCACCTTCGTTCAGTTCTTTTCCCGTCAAAGTCCAGGATCTTTGACTCATTCATGCAGCTTGGTGGCAAAAGGGAAAAGGGAGGAGACTCGTCTTGGATAGTTGGTGGTGGGAGTCTCCTCGGTGTATCCACATCATTGGCCTTCGGTGCTAGGATCTGATTTTCCAAGTCCTCAATGGGTTGACATTATGTTGGTGGCTCGATGATTACGGCATGTGTTAGACGCCTCGCACACCTCTAGAGGGGGGGTGAATAGAGGTGTTGCCCAAAACACTAGTTTTTTTCGCGGAAACGTTCTTCACGAATATTCAACAAAAACAATGCACCACAAACAAAATAAAGTGAAGGATAAGAGCAATGCACACACGATATATACTGGTTCAGCCTAAATGCCTACATCCAGTCCCCGAAGCAATCGTGCCCAGGCCTTCACTAACCCGTCAAACTTAACAGAGTTTGACAATCCGAATACAACTCGAGAACTTGATTTCACAAGCCTCTTATCTTACCACCGAAGTTTTGATTTCACAAAACTCGGGATTTCTTCCACCTAATGTTTGATTTCACAAACCGTTAGGATTTCTACCACTTGGTGTAATCCCAACACCAAGAATACAAATCTCTTACAATAAAGTAAGAAAACAAACCGCAACCGAGTAATTCTCCCAACCCGGAGTAGATTGTTGCAAATACAATAAAGTCCTTTAGAATATGGCAATATCTCTCAAAAACTCAAGCAAGAAATGATTTAGCAATCAAAACAATTGCCTTGCTTGGATATAAGGAGGGGATTGAGTAGAATCTCTTTGGATATTCAAAGGATATGTTCTTCAAAGTGTTCTAAGTGCTCTTATGAAGATTATCACGAAAGTAGGTAGTATATAGAAGTTAGGGAGTGGATAGGGATGAAAAGCATTCAAAAAAACTAGCCGTTTGGTAGTTGAAACTGTCGCCTTCTTCGAATAATTCAAGAACTATTCGAATAGTTTGGATCAATCGCGTGGCTTGAAAAACCAGTTCCTATTCGAATAAATGGTGATTTATTCGAATAAATCAGGTTCAAAAACCAGGACTTATTCGAATAAATGGTGATTTATTCGAATAAAACAGGTTAATTTCAGTCACAGGAAAGATCACGACTTATTCGAATAAACTAGAGATTATTCGAATAGAAAGACAACTTCCCCACACAAAAGCTGATATAAAATGTGTTTTAAAGGTATGATGATAAGGGAATGAACCTTAGAGATGCCATACTCTTTAACACATAATCTAAGACCTAAAACACTACCCAACTAAGGAAACCTCTTCGGTCTCGTTCCTTCCACTAAGGTAGCTTTGATTCTTAGCCTTGATGCACAATATGATGATGATGTTTTGTCACCCTTTTGTCATTATCAAAACCTAAAAGACAATGGGCAAATGACATTGCAAAGATATATATTCATGATAGCACATTGTCCAACAATTTCCCCCTTTTTGATAATGACAAATCCATTAGGAGATATGCATCATATAAGGCTAGTTCCCCCTCAAGTATTGCATTATAAATCAAACAAAGACAAACAAATCCATACTATCTTCCCCATTAAGATATGCACAAATACAATTCCCCCTGAATATATGCATATCTACACCATCTTCCCCCTTTTGACATTATCAAAAAGAGATGGGCAAAAAGATATATGCTCATGCAAATAGATATCAAACAAACAAATAATATCACATTGTACAACTAAAATATAAATAAACATTAGTTGGAATTAATAAAGTGAATCAACTTTCCCCTTAATTGATGCTTCACCCAATTATGTGCTTGGCGCATCTACTTCAACTCAAGTCGAAGTGTTCAAGCACACCTTCCTTAATGAATCTACGAAGCAAATCTTGGTACCCAATGCCTTTTGGGTCCAGGAGTGTTATGGCAATAATAAAAATCATATGAACGATGCATCACATTATCTTGACTTAGAAGCAAGTGCCTATACTTAGTGTAACAAACTGGTGTGATGTGTCCAACTTTATTACAATAATGACACCTAACACTAGGGTTTTTCATGTTTCTAGGACGTGTGATGTGCTTTCTAGATTGTCTATCAAACTTAGAATTCCTAGAATGACTTAGTTTATTTCTAGGTGATCTAGAGTATTTAATCCTAGAGGTAGATTTTAGTCTAAATTCATTTTCAACTTTCTTCATAGCTAATTTCAAATCGTCTGCTTCTTTCTTAAGCGCTTCTATCTCAAGACTAGAAGACTTACATGAAGAACAAGCTAAGGTGAATCATTTAATTTCAAATTAGTCTCCTCAAAAGTCTTATTTTCAATTTTCAGGGAATCAATTTCTTTTTGCAAAATATTATTTTTCTTTTGCAAAATGGTGATTTTATATTCCAAATCTTTGGCAATAGATGAGACTTTCTTAAATTCTTTAAATAAATCACCAAATGCTTCTTGTAGTTCTTCAAAACTAAAAGGATCGTTAGAAGTACTTACCTCTTCGGATTCACTTTGAGCCATAAGACAAATGGCTACTTCATCATTGGATGAAGAAGAGGAGCTAGAGTTGGATTGCTTTCGGCGTTTGTACTTCTTGAATTTTCGTTTAGGGCAATGACCCTTGATATGTCCACGCTCTCCACATCCATAGCAAGTAGGCTTTGTACTCTCATTCAATTGCTCAAGCTCATTTTGCAAGAAGTGATTAAATAACTCGAGAATGTCACTTTCTCCAAAGCCGCTTGGACAAGTTCCTCCAATGTTTCTGGTGCAGCGGGTGAAGGCGATTCTGAGACAGGACCCTCGGTATGCTTCACCTCTTGTACGATTTGACTTTTTGGGCTTTCAAGAAGCATCACCACTGTATCTCGTGCAATCATTTCTGCAAATGTTATCTTGTTTTCCATATACAGTGGTGATGGTGTTTGTGGATATTCAAGAATCGAGACATTGTTGGATTCAGTTTCAGATTCTGTCTCAGATTCTTTGTCCTCTACTAGAGCAACAACTTTCTCCATCTGAATTTGGAGAGTTTGTTGTTCCATAGTCTTCTTAAAATCTTCCAGCATCTTTTGCATCTGCTCCAAATGTTCACGTTGTTCGCTTTTAAATTTCAACTCTTTCTGAATTTGGAGCAGTTTCTTTTGTTCTTGGACTGTTTTAAGAAATCGTTCTCTTGCCTGGATTGCATCTCTGTTTGCTTCGATTTGCTCTTCACAAGTCTGAGTGTAATCACGACAATAGGGTGGTTGAAATGATGAACACTCCACCGCTAATGCTAGGTCAAGATTACGTATTCTCTCCTCAGTCCATAGAATTTCTTCAATTCGTGGATCTGGCTGGTCATCGTACATTGGCCCTTGCTGGTCGTAACTATCTTGATCACCATGAGGTTCATAATAATCCCCACAGGTGTCTTGGTATGGAGAATATCCAAATTTCTGAGACGGGGTATCGTATGGTGGTTCCTCATAGTATGGATAATAATCAAGTCCATTATTGACTAAGTAGTCATCATAATGGGAATCTTGATGTGGATAGTAGTTGGACTGTTGTGGGTAGTAATTGGACTATTGGGAGAATGATGGTGGGTGGTTGGTAGAAAGGAGGCGGATCGTAGTAATCATCTCGAAAATTCATTTTTAATGATTACTACGGGTGGCTGGTGGAAAAGAGGCTAGAAGATCGACCTAACCAGTCTTCACCCAAGCTAATTAAAAAAAATAAACTAAAATCGTGCCACTCCCTAGCAACGACGCCATTTGATGGTTGAGTTTTTCGGTAAGTCAACCTTCCCAATGAAGGGTTAGTTTTCTCCGAGTGTCGAGTCTCTCGTGGAGTGGACGAAGGGAATTAGTTAAATTTAATAACTAAACGAAGGTTTGGACAGGCATGAAAGTCTTCTCTTTTCGATTTGATAAATAAAAATACTATACTACTGATCGCTTTTGAGAAAAATAAAATAAATAGTACGGGTATAGGACTAGACTTTGGGCAGAGGCATCATCTAAGTTAACTATTGTTGTCACATATTTAATCAATAATTGCAATAAATATATTTCTGTCACAAATATTTCATTAACTTAACCTCTCTCAAGGTATCATTAATGTGTTCTAAAAAGTTTGGCTTAATTAATTTTGTATCCTCATGGACAAGGCAAAAACTAATTTCCAATTATTAATTAATTTTTCTCTCAACATAATTAATTAATTTAACACTAAAAATAATTTTAGAACAATTATTCCAACTATTAAATAAACATATAGAGTATATGCTCAAATTTAGCCACGACCCTAATCAGGGCCCTGTTGGACATGAGTTCAAACCTCCTTGTTATTTTTTTTGGATTATTTTTTGTTTTGATGAATGACAAACAGGATGATTAAATGCAATAGATATTCGAAAATTTATTCGGATCGAGAAAAGCAAAGAAGGGCATCAAGAAGTTTCGGCGATAATTCACGCTCACCCCTACGCAGTTTTTTGAAGTGAAGCGAAGACTCCGAAGACTTTTTATTTTTATTGAGTATAGGAATTTTTGTAAGGATGACAATATCTTCTGCACAAAACAATTTAATTTCTGAGGGATAAAAATTATTTTTGAGTCAGTTGAAAAATCACTTTTCCTCTGTCTAAAATATTTTAGTGAGTCAGTTTCAAAATAAGTGTGTCAAAATTTCTTTAAAACATTTTTAAGATTACACAATTTTCTTTGGTGAGAAAAATATACTTTAAATATTTTTTCGTGTATTGTTTGACACACAAAATAATATTTTGGACTCTCTTTTTCTCTCCCCTACTCAAATTCATTGAATAGGGAGATATTTTCCCAGGAGCGTGCCTTGTTATTCTCGTTGTCCCAAACAACGAGTTAGACGCCAAAGTGCTTCCAATCGCACTTGGCTTGGGCCCTTTGTGTTTGCGCATTATTTTTCATTTTAATCGATTATATCCTTTAAGATAATCGATTAGATCCAGCGCAATTTCTCAGGTTTCAACTCTTAATCGATTATTTCTTTTAAGAAAATCGATTAGCTTGGACAGTACCTCCTAATCGATTTAAACTTTCACTTTAATCGATTTATTAGCTATTCGTTGGGCTGCTCAACCTTGATCAATAATCGATTATTTATCCTTCGTTAATCGATTAGTTCGTACCGAACCTCCTAATCGATTATTTGTCTTCATTTAATCGATTATGATTCACTTTTCTTTTCAGGCTTTTCGCTTCTGTGTACAGTAATCGATTTAAACTTTTACTTTAATCGATTAATTTTATCTAGTGCATATTCTCAGCCTGCTTCAACGGCTTTATTTTCCTCAGCCTATTTAATCCCTCATCCTCCTTCATTTCAATACACACCTCTTGCACTCCAATATAATTTTTGAGCTATATTCATCCTTTGCTTCATCTTCCTCATCAAAATATTATTTTTGAGAGTTAGAAATATTTTTCTTTGAGTGCTAAAAGTAGTTGTCATCCAAAGAGCTTAAATCTTTCAAACACTACTTGCTCAATTGTGTGAGCTCTCATTCTTGTGTTGTAAACTCAATCTCTCTTGAGTGATTGTTCATAAGACTTGTGTGACTCAAGTCTTGTTGTTGTAAGAAAGTGAGGCTTGTGTGATTCAAGTTCTCAAGTTGTATCGGTTTTTCAAGCACCCGTTGAAGCTTGAAGATTAGTAGGACTTTCGAGAGAGTCTCTCGGAAGACTGGATTAGCCACGAGGTGGTGAACCAGTATAAATCTCGGTGTTCTTCTTTCCCTTACTCTCTTTATTTTATTCCTGCGATTCCATTATTTCACACACGCGAAAAACGCTTATTCTTGAGAACAACTCTATTCACCCCCCCTCTAGAGTTGCACATTTGTCTAACAATTGGTATCGGAGCAGGAAGTTCTTCGAATACGTTATTTTTTCAGGAACTAAAAGATCAAATGGCATCAAGAATGTTCAACGCAGGAGTTACCGAGGGACAATCAACCACGAGGCCACCTTTGTTCGATGGAACAAACTACTCATATTGGAAGGAGAGGATGAGAATTTTTATCCAATCCAACGACTACAAGCTGTGGTTGATTGTGAAAAACGGCTGCGGAGTTCCGATGAAGAAAGTCGGTGAGGTCAACGTTCCCAAAACCGAAGAGGAGTTCACCGACGAAGATTGCAAAAAGATGGAGTTCAACGCAAAGGCAATAAACATGATTTATTGCGGTGTTAATGCGGATGACTACCGCAAAATTTCGAGGTGTGAAACTGCAAAACAAATGTGGGAGAAATTGGAGGTCACCTACGAAGGAACCGCGCAGGTTCGGAAGGCCAAAATCGACCATCTTACTCACGAGTACGAACTCTTCTCAATGAAGGAAAACGAGAAGATTGAGGAAATGTTTGAGAGGTTCTCTAACATCATTAATCCTCTCAATCTTCTCGGGAAGACCTACACCGACCGAGAGCTCGTGAGAAAGGTGCTGCGAAGCCTATCCCCCAAATGGCGTTCAAAGGTGGACGCAATCGAAGAAGGTCGTGACTTCCAAACAACGACCNGGGGAGAATTCGATCAAGATGGTTTTGATGCCTTATGTGACGAATTAGGCATTGAGCATAACTTCTCGGCCCCCCGTACACCACAACAAAATGGAGTGGTTGAACGGAAAAATAGATCTCTTGAAGAGATGGCTAGAACTATGCTCAATGAGGCAAACCTTCCTAAATATTTTTGGGCGGATGCCGTGAGTACCGCGTGCTACGTGTTAAACCGAGCCGTCATTAGACCGATACTCAAGAAAATGCCCTATGAACTTTACAAAGGAAGAAAGCCTAACCTTTCATATTTTCATGTCTTTGGATGTAAAGTTTTTATTCATAATAACGGAAAAGATAACTTGGGAAAATTTGATGCTAAGTCGGATGAAGGAATTTTCTTAGGTTATTCTCTTCGTAGTAAGGCATATAGAGTGTTCAACAAGCGCACTAAGACCGTAGAAGAGTCTAATCATGTTGTCTTTGATGAATTAGATGCTCACTTGGCGAGAAAAGGTCTTGTTGAAAATGTTGCAGGTTCTCATGACGATGAAGAAGAAATCATTAAGGAAAAGGAACCGGAAGAAGAGAAAACGCAAGAGGAAACGGAACTTCCTAAAGAGTGGAGAACGTTGAAAAATCACCCAATTGACAACGTTATTGGTGAAATAACGTAGGGAGTTTCTACTCGTAACTCTCTTAGGAACACAATTAATCACATGGCCTTTGTTTCTCAAATTGAACCAACAACCGTTTTGGATGCTATTAATGATGAACATTGGTCTATGGCAATGCAAGAGGAGCTTAACCAATTTAAACACAATGATGTTTGGGAATTGGTGCCTAGACCTAATGATCATTCCGTTATTGGCACAAAATGGGTGTTTCGTAACAAACTCGATGAAAATGGAGTAATCACTAGAAACAAAGCTAGGCTTGTAGCTAAAGGCTACAATCAA